TCCAGGGGTCTTGATGGAACAAAGGGCTGAGGGAGCCATGGTGACCTTGAAAGAGGTCCCCAGGCATTGTGAGAAGTAGCCTAGGCTGCCTGAGGATGGCAGAGGGACAACAGAGGGAGGAGGGAGCGCTGGTGCCCAGCAGGGCGCCTATACCCCCCGAGGTGTGTTCCAGCCCCCACCATCATCCTGAGGGCAGCCCCTGGAGGGGTGATGCTCAGAGCAAAACTGCCCCTCCAGTACTCCTCCCCCAAGTCAGAGCACACACATAAAAGAGAATCCTGGTGCTCCTCAGGTTTCAGCAGTGACAGGTTAAAAGCAAAGAATCCACCCAGCACTGCACACCACCCACCACCGAGTCCTGCCAGTGATGTTGCTCCACCTTCCAGATTGGCCTGTCAGTCAGGCTTTGGCATTATTGAAAGATCAAACTCAGTCCTGCCTGTTCATTACCTTAATCCTATTTTCTACAAGGCTTTATTATCTGCTTGTGCTTCTCTGGGAAAGACAGCTACAGACAGTCGTCCTGTCCAACAAAAGCGGATGTCCACCCACCAAAAGCGATGTCTCCACCAGGGCATCTTTCCCTCAATCCCTGAACCACTCAGTCCTCCAAGCTTCCCCGGGGACAGGAGAGATGGTTAAACAAGGCGTGGTTCCTCTCAGTCGTGAGATGCGGAGTCTGGGGGCTATAGAGAAGGCAATGCCAAGTGATGCCCAGGGTAGCCCTGCCACAGGCTGACCAGAGGGTGCAGAGGCTGTTTCTTGTCTGGCTCCAATGAGAACTAAGGCCATAGCTGTCTTATGCCCATTTTCATTTGAGTTCTATAAAGACCCAGTGTTTGGGGTTTCATAAGAGAATGCCATTCAAGGAGTTAGTGCCTTAGAACTCCATCCTGACCATAAATCTGTGCCTAGCAGCACCCCTACCAAGGCAGCCACAGGCAGAAGAGGGCCACTCAAAGATTACTCAACCTTTGAGACAAAGCTGGGCCATGGTAGTGCACCCATCCCACCCTTTGGCTTGTCTGCCATTCTGGGCCCAGGCCAGTGATGATGCCAAGCACAAGGTCAAGCTACATGACTAAATAAAACTGACTTACAGCAGAAATGCACATCTTTGTAACCTGCAGCCTTACTATCAAGAGCTTTCTCTGTGCCATGAAGTCAGCAGGTTCTCCTCCCCTGCTACTGGTCACAAGGCCACAGATATTTTGGAGGATTAAAAGGCTGAGCCTCCACAAACTCCAAGGTACTAATGTGGAAGACAGCTGTGGGTAGGGAGAAAGAGAGGGAAGGAAGACAGCTTACAGTGGTTGAATGCCCTCAAGGTGACAGGCACTGTGTGGACACTTTTTCAAAATATTTTTTTTCCTATTAGTTCTGTTAGGTAGGGATCATTAAATCCCATTTACAAATGTGCAAACTGAGGCCCAGAGAGCCTCCCGCCCCAACCCCCGCTCATAGAGCTAATAAGCGGTAGAGTCAGATCTGGAACCCAGGTCTGTCTGACCACATGGTCTGTGCTCCCTCTGTAGCTCCTCACAGCCTCCAAGTCACATACTAGAGGAGGGCCCCCTTCTGCCCCGGCCCCATTCGGAAGAAAGAAGTTGCTGGTGGCAGGAGTCTGGCAGAGTGAGCCAAGGGGACAACTTTCACATACTGTAGGAACTCCAACATTCCAGGTGCTAAAGAGCAAAGGAGCCCTTGGAAGTTTTAGCTGTGCTGGCAACTGTGATGTGACAATCAGCTACATTAACAAAAGCAGAAGAGCTAGAATAAGGGAGATGATAGCACCTGCCACTCACTCATCAGCCCACACCTGGTGTGTTCAGTACTCAGTTGTGAACATCACACTTCAAGAGGGATCAAACCAGATAAATCAGAGAAACTTTCAGGTGAGTATAGTCCCGAAACCAATATGATACCAACCCTGTAAGTCACCCATCCAACTATTCCTCACTTACTTTCTTGCTGACCCAAACTGGATTTGGTGCCCGCCCCTCCCCTCCCCCACTGCCGCTGAGCATGGGGGGAAAGCTGCGCTCTTCCCCAGGCCCAGAAGGTGAATCTTGACTCGTCATTCCATTTCCCTTGCCAGAGTTTGGTTTAGGGTGAGTACTGGAGCACACTTTTGGCTCACTAAATATGAGGAGAAGTCTGCTTGGAGACTCCTATGACAGTCTTCCTCATCTTAAAAAGGGACCCTAGGCAGTGACATTCCTCATCCTTCCTTCTTCCCTTTGGATATTGCCTTTATGAGTTGGTAGAGCTTTTGTAACCAACCTGAGGACAAGGGCAAAAGCCACCTTGACTGGGGTGGCAAAGCAGAAAGCTAAGGAGCAGATGGACCCTCATGGTCTCATTGAGCTACTGAACCCATCAATTCTGGAACCAGCTAACAGTCCAATTTCTGGACTCCTTGTCATTTAAGACAATAATAATCCCTTTATTGTTTGAGCCACTTTGAATTAGGTCTTCATTACTTATAGCCAAAAGCACCCTAACTGATCTACTATGTTTATGAGCAACAATTGAAGACTTTTGAGCCTGGAAAAGAGAAGACCCTGGAGGAGCCGGACCAAGTTTTCAGATATTTAAAGGCCTGTCCTTCAGAGGAGAGGTTCAACTTGCTTCTTGTCCAGGATCACAGCTCCAGGAAACAGATCAACCCTTGATGGAGGGTAGGCATTCTAACTCTCAGAGCTATCCAAAGATGTAATGTGGTGTTTGGGGAAGTTGCAAGTTTCCTATCCCTGTGATTGGATGACCATCAAGACAATGTCGTAGAGAAAACCATATTTAATTAAAACATCTCAAGTGTGATAAAAAAATCTTTTGGAAAGATTGACAGTACAATAGATTTTTCAGAAAAAAAGATATGGCCAATACTTTCCAGGGGAGATGGAGAGAAAAGGAGAAGACAAGCTAGAGCAACTGAGACAGGAGACAGGAGACAGGCAAGAAGAGCACATCCTCGGGGCCGGCCCAGTGGCACAAGAGGTTAAGTGCACGCACTCCGCTGCAGCGGCCCGGGATTCACTGGTTCGGACCCTGGGCACACGACGCACTGCTTGTCGAGCCATGCTGCGGCAGTGTCCCATATAAAGTAGAGGAAGAGGGACATGGATGTTAGCCCAGGGCCAGTCTTCCTCAGCAAAAAGAGGAGGATTGGCAGATGTTAGCTCAGGGCTGATCTTTCTCACAAAACAAAAAAGAAGAGCACATCCTCACCATCCCTGTAAATTATGTGAAAACCAGAATGTGGGGGCCTAGGGCCAGGTGAAGAGTTCTTAGACTTGGTGCCAAAAGCACGATTGATAAAAGATAAAGTCAATAATTTGGACTTCATCAAAATTTAAAGTTTTTGCTCTGTGGAAGACCCTGTTAAGAGGATAAAAAGACAAGCTATAGACTTAGAGAAGATATTTGCCAACCACATATCTGACAAAGGATTAATATCTAGAATATATAAAGAACTCTGAAAACTCAACAGTGAAAAAGTAAACAATCTAATTAGAAAATGGGCAAAAGATATAAGCAGACATTTCAGCAAAGAAAGTATAAAGAAGGCAACTAAGCACATGAAAAGATGTTCAATATCATTAGCTAGGAGGGAAATTCAAATTAAAACCATGATAAGATACCAGACCTATTAGATTAGCTAAAATAAAAAATAGTGACAGTACCAAATGCTGTGGAGGATGTGAAGAAACTAGATCTCTTGTACATTGGGGTCAGAATATAAAATGATAAAGATACTCAATTTTCCAGGTAAAAAAATAAAAACTAAACTTACCAAATGACCTGGCAATTGTACTCCTGGGCATTTATCCCAGAGAAATTAAAACGTATGTCCACACAAAAGCCTATACACAAATGTTCATAACAGCTTTATTTGCAACAAGTCAAAAAATTGAAAACAACTCAAATGTCATTCAATGGGTGAATGCTGTTCAATGGGGAAAGAAACTTTGGTACATCCATCCCAGGGAATACTACTGGGCAATGAAAAAGAAAGCACTATGGATACATGCAGCAACTTCTACAGGTCTCAAGGGAATTATGCTGAGTTAAAGAAAAAAAGCAAATCTCAAAAGGTTACATAGTATATTATTTCATTTATATAATACTTTCAAAATGACAAAATTACAGAGATGGAAGACACATAAATGGTTGCCAGGGGTTAGGGACAAGAGGAAGGGGAGAAAGAGGGGAGGATGGGTAGGACAATAAAAGGGTACGTGAGGGATCTTTGTGCGAATGGAATGAACAGTTCTGTATCTTGATTGTGGTAGTGGTTACATGAATCTACACATGGGATAAAATTGCAAAGAACTACACACACACAAGTGCAATCTGAATAAAGGTCTGTGGATTGTACCAATGTCAATTTCCTGGGTTTTGGTATTATATTACATAAGATGTTACACAGGTAACTTGCTGTCCTATTTTTATAACTTCTATGAATCTATAATTATTTCAAAATAAAAAGTTTAAAAAAACCACAACAGAATGGCAGATAATCAGATGGGAATGTGTTTAGCCTGCCAAGGAGCAGAATTGTGAATAAAACCTGGATATACTTCAACTCTTCTGTATAATTCTTTTTATGGATCTGTAGGCCACTTTCAAAATTTCTTTATTTTAGAAAAATTATCTCTGAAGATAGATAGGATTTTATGTAGCCACATAGGCACTCCTCAGAGAAAGAGTATCATAAATCCAAATTGTTATTGTTATCACAAATTCCACATGAAATTATTTACCTATTATAAATTACTTCAGCAGTTGGCTCAAGCTAACCCAAACGATTCCATGTGAGAAGGCACCACAGCAGAGGCTATTGGTGGGTTGCAGGCCGGGGTCCTTCCCAGCCTCCTCCTGGACCACTCAGCGGCCAGCTGAAGCATGAGCTGGCTCAGCCAGCTCTCTCCTTTGCTTCCCTGGCTGCTCCAGCCCCCTCCCCACTGGAAGCCATGGTGGGCTCAGGAATCTCTTACCTGTTGAGGTCCCAGATTCTTAGGGGTGAGAAGTGCCCACAGCAAGCCGTCCCTGTCACGAAAGAGCTACCAAAAAAGGAGAGGAGAGTCAGGTCTGGCTTGTCAGAACTTGTGGCAGAAATGGCTACAAAATTGGAAGTGCCATCCTCATTCTCCAGGGGATCATGGGGTTAAGCCAGGATGATGGAAGCAGCCAAGACAGCTATCAGAGGAGCTGCGAGAAGACAACTAGAAGAAAGGTGAGGGCTGTAACCTCCCACCGCTGCTTGGCCAGAGGACCCATGGGTTCAACAATGGCTGAGCTTGCTGCTTCCTGCTCAGACCTGGTCGTGTGGTCTCTGCCCACCATAAAAACGGATCTCTAGATGCACAACTCTGATGCCAAGGGGCAGCAAGCCTGTTGGGCTGCAGTTGTATAAAGGACAAGTTCACGATGCCATGGCACAGATAAGGTCTCCTGGGAATCAGCTGTTGGGTGCTAGAAGGTGATGCCCTGATCAGAGGTGAGGGTGGGCATTATGGAAGGTTTTAAGAGTTGGGGGACTCTGGTAATATGGCAAAAGCACAGAACAGGTGTAAAGGCACCAAAATGAGGAAAGGTGAGTCACAATATGAAAAGGTGAGATAGGTGATAATGCTCGTAAATGAGGGTGAGAGAGTAGGGAATGTGAGGGGCCAGGCAGCCAGGGCTGTTGCGGAGTAGGATGGGGGTCAGGCAGAGTTTAGAGGACAATGACAGATACTCCCAAGAGGCAGGTAAGAAGAAACACTCTGACCATATTTCCCAGAGTGTCTCTTAAACCTCTAAAAAGTTCAACATATACAATCTGCAGAGTTTCATTTTAAGTGGAGGCATAAGCCCAGTGAGAAGGATCTGTGCAATGAGCCAGGTTGGCCAAAGACTAGAACTTGAACCTCTACGCCAGACCACTCCTTTGTTAAAGGATTTGGCAGGTGGGGGCGGGGGAAGCCTGCAGGAACCCCAGGCTTGAAAACCTAAACAGTGAGCAAGAGAGTTGAAAGCAGTTGTGTCACTCAGGAGCCCTGGGGCAGGGAAGGGCCATGTCCCTACATGTCTGGCATGGGGAGAAGGGGGGACTGGACATACTAATGACATGTTTGCAATGTGGGGGCCGCAGCCCATCCGCCCTGGCCCTGCCCAGCACCTGTGGCTCTCTGATCCCAAGCATGTCAGTGGGGAGATGGATTTCCACAGAGAGGGCTCTGAAGAAGCCAGTGGCTTTGGCTGCAGGGGGAGGTGGCCTGCCAGTTGCTCATGGGGAAGATGTTAGGGCAGGCATTGGCCAAACCACTGATTTACAATCAAAATTGCAGGGCAGGTGTCTACTTTTCAACCCCAGGCTGACAAAAGGCCACATGAGCCACCCTGGGGCTCCCATGCCTCAAGCCAAGACTTCCTCTAGGGACATGCTCCATCATCCTAGCTTCCTCTTGACCCATAGGAGTGCCAGCAGCCACTAAACTAGAGTGGCATGCCAAAACAGCCACTCTGTCATGCCCCAAGTGACTCTCAGCCTGGGAAGCAGCCCCTGGACACTGAAGCCCCAAACTACAAAGCCAGGAGGTGTTGTCCTCACCTCCCTCCCTCCGACATTTTTCTCTTGAGGGTAATCCATTAATAACTGGTAAAGCCAATTACCTTGGGTTGGAAACATAATAGCCACTTAGAAATCATTCAAGCGGGCAATTGGGCTCTCCAGACTTTTGAGGAGTGGGGGCCAGGTGAGGGGCGCCAGCACAGACACACAGACATCTCTTAAGGAGGCCTGTGGCAGGCCTTTGACTGGCCACAGGCCTAAATTAGCGTCAAGGTAAGTCAATAGAGAGATGGGAGGCACCTGGAACCTGAATCCCTGCCACTCCCACAGCTCTGACCCCCGCCCCAGCAGGCTGGGGTAGGGATGGGAACACCTTCTCCTGGGACTCCTGTCTTTCTTTATTCCTTCCCACCCATGCCTGGCCCTGTCCATCTGCCACCAGGAGGAGTACCTCTCATCTTCATACCCCATGAAGGCCTTTCTTAATTGCCTGGACAAGGCACCATGAACATTTCTTTCCAAAGCTGCCCTTTTCTCTTGCTTAACCATGTGAAGCAGGGAGGAAGAAAAGGAGGGAAAGTAGAGAGTCCCCCCGGCACTTATGAGGACTTAAGAGTTTAATCAAATTTAACACTCAGTAAAAAACCACGTAAGCCACAGTCAAGCAGATTTGGAGCCAGGTCTTGCTGGGGACACTCACCAGGACTTATACCCAAACCATGGGGACTGCCCAGGACACTGGGTGGTGAGGCTGGCTGCTGACATAGCCCTGCACACCTCAAACTACTGCCCTCTACTTTCGGCCATACTTGCTCCCCACCCTACCCCCCAATTCCCACAGACTTTAGGATGTATGAGGCAAAAGCCACAGACCAGCCACATTCAAAATCAGAAGATTAAAAGGGGTACCCAAGTGCAGTGTTGCCAGAGTGTGGACAGACACATAGAGCAGAAAAGAGAAGAAATTCACTATTCTGGGACACTCAAAGGATGCTTCACATCCCACAGTGAGTCCATGAGATAGAAATTATTATTCCCATTGTATAGAAAGGGAAAATAAAGTGACAGCCAAGCCTCCACGAATTTACCTGAAATGCTGCAGCTGCACACAGGATCTGTTGCTCACATACTTGCACCCCTCCCTGGAGACTCGCCAGATCAAGTGATCTGAAAAAGGGCTAGTGGAGTGGGATCTGCACATCATAGGAGGCCTCACTAACCTCACAGGAGGCCTCACTAACCTCACAGGAGGCCTCATTCTCTCTAACCTCCACCAGGCAATTTAGCTGGAACATAATGCCATCCTGCTCCGTTTGCATCAGCCTGAGGTCTTCAAACAGATTCTCTCCACATCCCTCACTGGGCTGGGTCCTATAAGCATGCCAAAGGTTCTCAATAAATACTTGGAGATGAACTAAAGGAACACATGTACCATTCCTTCTATGGCTCCTCCTAAGGGACTACTCAAAGAATCTTCCCCATTAAAAGGTCTTTGCTATAACCTCAACTTAGGGTTTGAAGTTCCTGAAAAAGCCAGCTCTCCTCAGAAAGGAATAAAGATTCACACGGCTTTTGCCCTCAGTCCTATCTCTTCCCTCAGGAGTATCCCAGGGACAGGGATAGCAAACCTGTGCCGAACAGGCAGAGGCAAGAGCTCCTGGCTCCCCAGGTGGCTTGACCATCCTTCCTCTGGGTCCCTACCACACTTTGGTCTCACCTTCATGGGACAAATAGTACTTTTTTGGTTGTCTTCTCATCTTCCCTTTGAGATCATGAACCGTCTGGTGGCTCCTGTGTACTCCAGTGCCAAGCACAGTGCCTGGTCCAAAAGAAGTACTCAGTACAAATCTGTAGACTTGAACTGAAAGGGCCTTCCAGAGCTCACAGCCAAAGGCTGGGTAAGATAGTCACATGGGCTGTGAAGGGGGTCCCTCTGCTTCTTAACAGAATAATTCCCAAACCACCAGACTCAGACTTGAATGACACATGACATAGTCATACATCGTTGGGGTACTGAAGTCTCTCATAAGTACCACAACCAGATAATAGATGAGAAGTACCAACAGTATCTAAAAATTAATGTCCAAACACACACACACACACACATAGATGCTCTTAAACAATGTACGTACTCTCTCAGCTTGAGGGTCAAAAAGTCATTCTGACTCCATAAACTCTACTCTTTTTGGACCAGAAAGCCCTACCAGAAACCAGACTTCTATAATTTCTCATCCTGTCCCAGACCTTGCCCAGATCCCTAACCTACCTTATCGGCCCCCTGGCCCCAGTTCAGGCAAACTTGGCATCACAGAGATCATCCTCAGGCCCAAGAAGTAGAAATAGGAGCCCTCATATCAGAGAGAGACACCAGGACAATTAGGGTTCAGGTACTCAAGTTGAAGAATAGAAAATAACAAGGTACAGAAAAGAGGAGAGGAAGATAAGAAGGGAAATCAGTTGGGTGTGGGCAGTGTGAAAAGAAGGTGGAGTCTTGCTGCCTCTGCCTTAGGTTAGGCCCTCTTAATTACACTAGTAATTTACGGAGCACCTACTAAGTGCCAGGTTCTAAGCATGTGTTTCAAAAGCATTATCCCATCTAATCCTCGTAACTCTATGCAGTAGGTACCACCTTCCCTATTTTATAGACGAGGAAACCGAGGCACAGAGAGGTAATGGAACTTGCTCTAGCTCACACAGGAAGCAACTAGTAGGACTGGAATCTGATTTTACCACCCCCTGCCCTGAAGGTTCTCTCCCAGCACCTAGTATAATGCCTGACACATACTGAAAACTCAAATACTTGGTGAATGAATGAATGGACAAATGAACAAATAACTCCACCTGGAAGAAGAAAGGAGCGACTGAGTGGCTCTGAGGAGGGGCAGCAGAAGTGGCGTGCTCAGCAGCTGTGCACCATGACTGGCCTAGAGCCGCCCAGCTGGCCCAGGCCCCGGCCGCCTCTGAACCGAGGCTGACACACTTTGGCAAGGGAGGCCACCAGAGCTGTCACATCATTCACCAACATGCCCATCAAGTGTATTCAGTTCTCTTCAACCCGCACTGGCATTTTAATTACTGTTGGGTAAACTAATTTGTACAAATGAAGGCCGGGCTGCCTAATAGAATATGCAAGCTCTCTGACCTCTGACAGGCACTGACACGAGATACAAAGGCTGCCGAGGAAGGCTTTTTATCTGAGCCTTATTACTCTCTATTACTCCAATTAGTCAGGCTCCAGTGCTCCTAATTGGAGGAAAAATTGCAATTAAATCAATTTTTGATGGGCTGCAAGTGGGCTCCCGAACCGCCCTGCTTGTGAAACACTGATATTATAGCAGCAAAGGTCACAGGCCTCATCGGCACCTGGGGGCCCCCCAATTTCCCTCGTCCCCCTCCTAAAATACCTCAAGGAAATCCCTGCCCCTCCATCGGCTCGGCCTGCAAGGGTGGGAAGGAGGGAATCATTAGAACATGTCAGGTCTCATTGCTGCTGCCACCATCTGCTAA